GGAGGCGGAGGAGAAGGGAGGAGGGATATCAAGGAGGCAGGACAAAAGGGGGGGGGGAAAGGAGAGGGCGAAGGAGGGAGAGAGGAAGGGCAGGGAGTGGCGGAGGGAGGGATGGAGGGAGGGGAGGTGGGGGTTGGAGAAGGAAGGCCGTGCGCCCCGCTCCCAGGCATCCGACGTCAGGATGCTTCGCGGCGTGGGATGCCCTGGAATTCCGCAGCCCTCCCCAGGACAATCTTTTTCTTGTGTCACGAAGACACCCGCCCCAAAACGGTTCGAGGCGGCCATGCAGCCTCCCAGGCCTCCCCTCGCTTGTTGACTATGCGTGCCTATTCCTCTCCCCCCGTCAACTCTCATGGGCATCCTTTCTGGATGGGTTGGTGGGGATACCTTCTGGTACGCGGGCTCGCGAAGCAGGTCGAACACCGGGCAAAGCTAGGGCGGGCCGCGCCGAAGCAACAGAGAAAATTGGACCGAGCAAAACCCGACTCAGACGTGGACTCAGCGTCCAACAGGACGTAAACTGACAGACTGGCACGATGACCATGACGAGGAGGAAGTCCGAGTGCGCCACGCTTACCCAGGAGAAGGCTGGTAGGGGATACTTGTTGGTACGCGGGCGCGCGAAACGGGTCGAACGCCGGGCGAGCAGGGACTGGTGGGGATACTTTTGATCGCGACCGCGGCGAAAGAGGACGGGCGGCGTCCAGGAGCGAAGCACACCAGCAACGGCCTAAATTCGCGCACGGAAGCTGGTGGGATTCGCGAAGCGTCAAGAATTCCGACAACCTCCCCGGGACAATCCTTTTTCCACGAAAGAAATTCCATCAGCTTCGTGCCATCTCACGGGCGAGCCGCTCGCACCAAGAGCAGGGTGATAAGAGAGATCGCGATGCAATTCCGCAGCTCCAGTTGAAAAAGGGGGTGAAGGCCGATGCAGCACATGAAGATGCAACCCGATGCCAGAAGACAGACTGCACCAGCCACGAAGGGGGGGGGGGGCCTCCCCGGAACAAGCTGTTCGTTTGTGTTCTCCCGCCCGGGCGCCCGAAATGGCACAGCAGACCCGAGCGTAAGAGAACTTCCCTGCCTCCATCCCGACGTCCGACAAGGAGTGTGTCCTGTGCACCTGCGGTTCCAGAATTCCCAGCTCAACGGGCGAATGGAGCGTAGTGCCACGGACCACATCGTACAGAGGATGTGTATATGTATAACCAAGCATGGCCGCGAGGGTTGATGTGGGGGAGAAGAGGATGAGGAGGAGGAGGAGGAGGCGGAGGAGGAGGAGGAGGCGGAGGAGGAGGAGATTTTTGGATTGCGCTCTGATTCGCCGAAGAAGCGGTCAGCTTGGTGCGGCACTCACTAGCTGCTGGCAGAAACACGCGGTATCTAGCAGCACGGGCGCCAAGGTTTGGTGAAACTCCCCGCCCCCGAGGAGGAGGAGGAGAAGGAGGAGGAGGAGGAAGAAGAGGAGGAGGAGAGGGAGGAGGAGGACGAGGGAGGGAGGAGGAAGGGGCTGAATTCCCAGCTCCCTCTCCAGGGCCAACTCCTCTCGTCCCAGGCTCGCTCCCAGTGGCCCCCGCGCCCGGGAGCGGGCCCTGCAGGCCGAGGCGGCGGGAGAGCGCCGAGGCCCAACATACTAGGAGGGGGAGGAGGAGGGGGGGTAGGAGGAGAAGGAGGAGAAGGAGGAGAAGCAGGAGGAGGAGGAGGAGGGGGAGGAGGAGGAGGAGGAGGAGAAAGAAAGAGGAGGAGGAAGGGGCCGGGCCCTGGGACACACAAACAAATGGGCACAAATAGCCAGATTCCCCACATCTCCCCATATGTTCTGGGTTTCTGTCTTCCCCCCCAATTCCCCTACTTGCCCATATGTTCTGGGGATATCGCCGATTCATTGTGTCTGTGTGTGCTTTTTCCCTCCTGAATAATAACAGTCGGGAGGGGGCTGAGAGTCGCCAGGCAAAACCTTTGATCAAGGAGCGCGGCCGCGCCCGTGCCGCCAGAGATCTTGGCACGAAAGAGATGCCGTGACGCGAGCGGCTTAGGACGCGATCAGGGCATGCCGTGTCTGGCGGCCTTTGTCTCTGCCGCCCTAGTGGAAGAGCGGGGGATCAGGACAAGATCCTGGAAATCTGGGCACGGATCCTTCTCACGACGTCTTGCTCCCCTGAGATCTGGGCCCCTCTCCAGGCGGCGGCGACGACGGCCAGGGCCGCGCGACCACGGGCAGAACATCAAGACGACAGACTACAGACGACAGAGAACAGACGATAAACGACAGACGACAGCGACGACGACGGCGAAGACGACGGCGACGACGACCGAAAAGACGACGGCGACGACGACGAAGACGACGACGCCGACGCCGACGCCGACGCCGACGCCGACGCCGACGACGACGACGACGGCGGCGGGGCCGTGGTGGCCTTCAGCGTCGACGGGGCCGCCTCCCGCCACCGCTGGCGGCCCACCCAGCCGCCGGCCCGCAGGTCGAGGACGTCCTGTGCTTCGAGGGGGGGGGCTCCTCCTGTGCTCGAGGACGCCCCGTGCTGCGGGGGGACGCCCTCGAGGGCCCGCACCGCAGGCCGAGGACGTGCTGTGCTCGAGGGCGTCCTGCCCTGTTCACAGATTTCCAGCCAGGTCGACTCTAAAGATGTCGTTCGGCTTCTGCCCCTCCTCCTCCTCCCCTCCTCTCCCCTCCTCCTCCTCCTTCTCCTCCTCCTCCTCGCCCTCCTCCTCCTCCTCCTCCTTCTCGCCCTCCTCCTCCTCCTCCTCCTCCTCCTCCTCGCCCTACTCCCTCCTTCTCGTCGTCGCTCGCCCACCGCTCGAGGGCGGCACCTCCTGGTAGGCCCAACGATTTCGCCAGAGGCCCCCTTAGTGGGCCCTGAAAACGACAGGGCCGTTTTTGTTACAGGTTTCGTTTTGCCTTGCCGTTTTTGTTGCCCGTTCCGACGCCGTTTTTCTGCCGGTTCCGTCGACGTTTTTTGACCGCCTCCGGCTCCTGTTCCAATCCTGGAGCCGTTTTTGTTGCTGTTTCCGGTCGCCGTTTTTCTTTTGCCGTTTCCACTTTCAAGGGGCACTTCTTTTGGAAGCGGTGAAAACACGGCCCTGCCGTTTCCGGGGCCCGGTCTCCGTCCTGCTCTCTTCGGTCTCTCTGCCTCCACGGGCCCTTCCCCGGGGCCCCGCGGGGGCACCAGGCTGCCGAAAGGGGCCGCTCTTCGGTCGAGCTCGGCAGACTGCGCCTCAGGGCTGGACCTGAAGGCTGTTTGTCGTTACGTTGTCGTTGTGTTCTTCGTTCTGCTCTACCCGTTTTCCTGCACCTCCCCGCCACAACGAAGACCAAAGCACGGCCGAGGCCCAGCAAAACAGCGTCTGTGTCCAGCCCTGCTATGCATCGAACTCTCGAGGGTCGAGTTGGCGGTGCGCACATGGGGTGGAGGAAGGGGGAGGGCTTCTCAGAAGGAGGCTGCTTCTTGGAGGGCGCCGGCCTCACACCTATAGATCAGGCCCGCGCTTTCTGAGAAGCAGGGGTGCTTATAAGAAGCCCTCACCCTCCTACCGCCCCCCTCTGCGCGTGGCTGATCGGGCCGATGATAGGCCTCTTTTCCACCACCACCACCATAAGTTGGATGGGGAGGAGAAGGAGGAAGAGAGGAGGAGGAGGAGGAGGAGGAGGAGGAGGAGGAGGCAAAGCGTCGAGATGAAGGAGGAGGAGGGGGAGGAGGAGGACCCCCTCCCCCTCCAACCTATGGTGGTGGTGGTGGTGGTGGTGGTGGTGGTGGTGGTGGTGGTGGTGGTGGAAGACAGGCCCATCAGTCGAGGGCAAAACCTGGGCGGGGGGCCCGCGTGACGGCCGGGGACGTGTGCGCAGCGTGCCGCGTCGGCGAGCCCCCGCGGCGGCGCGCGGAGCCGCCCCGCGAGCGGGCAGAGCGCGCCGCGCCCCGCGCCGCGGGGCGGGGGGGCTCCGCGTGGCTCGGAGTGCTGCCGCGGTGTGGACACATGATGGGAATATTTTCCTCCACCACCACCACCACCACCATAGGGGGCGAGGGTCCTCCTCCTCCTCCTCCTCCTGTTCGTCCTCCTCCTCCTTCCCCCCTCCAACTTACGGTGGTGGTGGTGGTGGTGGAAAACAGGCCCATCAACAAAGGTAGGGGAACGAACACTGACACAAATTGGCGAGGCGGGAATTTGCCCATATCCACCGCCTGGGAGCCGGCGTCCTGGTGCCCCAGCGGGCGGTGGACATGGATCAATCTTGGCCCCCGGGGGCTCGAATCTATGTCCATCTCCACCGCCTGCCGATGCCCCCGAAATTGATCCTCCAGGCGGTGGTCACGTGTAAATTCCTGCCTCGGAAAAAAAGCATGAGAACTCTGAGGTCCGTGCGGACTTCTCGGATCGGCGCTGGACCCCTCTCCCTGGCGCGCGGAGCGCACCAGGTGCCCCAGCGCCGATCCGAGAAATCCGCGCAGACCTCCGAGTTATCATGTTTATGCCATTCTTCGTTCCCCTAAGAAGGGGCGCGGTCAGCGCGTCGCGTCCGAACGTGGTGTGCCAGCACTGGCGGAGCGCGACGCGCGGAGCCGAGCTTCCCGGCCGTGGCTGCTCGACTCCCGCTTGGGCCCCCTGGGCGCCGCGGGGTGCGCGTCCGAGCGTGGTGGGCCGAGGAGGAGGAGTAGGAGGAGGAGGAGGAGGAGGGGAAGGAGGAGCAGGAGGAGGAGTAGAGGGGGGGGATGGGGAGGAGGAGGAGGAGGAGGAGGAGGAGGAGGAGGAGGAGGAGGAGGAGGAGGAGGAGGAGGAGGAGAGGAGGAGGAGGAGGAGGAGGAGAGGACGAGGGAGAGGAGGAGGAGAAGAGGAGTAGAGGAGGAGGAGGAGGGGAGGAGGGGAGGAGGAGGGAGGAGGAGGAGGAGGGGAGGAGGAGGAGGAGGAGGAGGGGCACTGGCGGAGCGCGACGCGCGGGGCCAAGCTGCCCGGCCATGGCTGCTCGACTCCCGCTTGGGCCCCCTGGGCGCCGCGGGGGGCCCGCGGGCCGCGGCCTGCGACAGCAGCATCATCGGCGGATCTCTTCGAACGGGCAACGCTTCCACCACCGCTGCCGTATGCAGGACGGGGGAGAAGGGAGGGTGAGGAGGTAGATCCTCCTCCTTCTCCTCCTCCTCATCGTCCTCCTCCTCCTCCTCCTGCTCCTGCTCCTGCTCCTCGTGCAGCTCCTCCTCCTCCTCCTCCTCCTCCTCCTCCTCCTCCTCCTCCTCCTCCTCCTCCTCCTCCTCCTCCCTACCTCCCTCCCTCCCTCCCGTCGGGCCGACCAGGAGGGGATACGGGTATCCCCCCGGATGGGCCTCCTGAGGCCTCCTGGAGGCCTCCTGGAGCCCATGGGGCCCCCTGAGGCCTTTTGGAGCCCATGGGGCCCCCTGAAGCCTTCTGGAACACATGGGGCATCCTGAGGCCTTCTGGATCCCATGGGGCATCCTGATGCCTTCTGGAGCCCCTGGTACCTCCTGAGGTTTCCTGAAACTTCCTGGTGCCTCATAGGACCGTCTGGACCCGCTTGGGACCTCCTGATGCATTATGGAGCCTCCTGGGGCCTTCTGGGGCTTCTTGTGATATCCTGGTACCTCCTGTAACCTACTGAGATATCCTGGGGCCTTCTGGGATGTTCTGGAAACCCCTGTGGCCTCCTGCGGTCTCCGTGGACATCCTGGCCGTCTCGGGGCGCCACGAGGCCCTCTCTTGGGGCTCCCCGCGGCTGTCTTGGGCTGTTTGGGGCAGATCCCTGGGACTTCTGGGTACCGAAAATAAGTGAACCGAAGACCCTCCGAGAGCGCAGGGCTTGGTTCACTTATTTGGTTGGCATATGGCCGCGTCCGCCCCCCCCCCCCAGGGCCGTTTCGGGGCAGGACATAATGATTTGTTCTTAAACTTCGTAAGGTTGATCCGTCGTAATACACACATAAACAATATACCATATATTTTATATATACTATATATATATATTAATATATATATACATATATATATTAATATATATATATTAATATAGATATATATTCATATATATATATGTATATATTCATAGAAATACATACATACATGGTCATAGAAAACAGATGGCATATATGTGTATGTGTTATGCAGATATACAGAGACATGTAGAAACATAGTATAGGCATCATGACAATTACCAGTACACATGATACAACTACGAATGCACGACGCGCATACCGACAGAAACAACAACAGCGCGCGCGTAATCTCTTGGAGCCGTTTTAGACATCATGGGAACCTCTTTGGGCCCTCAGGGGGTCTCTTGAGCACCTTCTTTGTGGATTGAAGACGTTATCGGGGTCATCTTGGGATCAATTCCTGGACCCTATCGGGGCTTTCTTAGCCACAAGCGGGGGTCGAAACAAGTGTGATGTCCATTGTCCAAGAGTTGTGAAAACTGTCCGATCGGCCCCTTGGGGTCCGACCTACAGCTAGAAAGTGGATTGCGTTTGAAGAGAGGCAGCTCTGTTTTACCCATGACGATCGCGAGGCGAAACAGTATGAACATATGCTCAAGCTCTCAATCCCGCGTATTGGCCTGCTCAGCCACTCACCCTCTGCACATGCCCCTCCAGTGCAGGGCAGTGGCCATCTCGGCTGCCCCCCCCTCCGTCGGGCGACGCCCGATCGCCGTGTAAATCCTAACTGAATTAAGTGCACCCTTGGCCGCGCATGGCACCCGCGCATCGTGCGTCGAGCCAGACGCCGCGGGCTTCCAGCGCGGCGTTGCGCGGCAGTCGCGCATGTCATCCCGGCCAGCGCAGGGCCGCGCTCGCACCCGCTGTACACTTGCACCAGACCTGCTTACACTGGCGCATTGAAACACTGCGGCCCGCAGGCTGCGAGAGGCAACTCTTCGGTTAGCGTTTAGATCGACCGCTTGTTGGTTGAGAGGTCAAACAGCTTCTTCCTGGTCGACTTGTTCACCTTCGCCCTAATGGCCTGCAAGATAGTTTCTTGCACGCGGGACGGCCCGCGCCTGCGCGGGCGCAAATCGCCCTCCACAGGAGGGGCGGAAGCCTGGTACTCCGTCTCATCTAGGCCCACGTGCACCGGCCAGTTCTCAGCGTCGAACAGCGAGACTGAGTTGACCACGGTCGCCTTCATATCGGCGCGCCGCACCCTCGAGGTCGTCCTGCCGCCCAAAGCCCTCGACGCCAGCGTGGTCTCGCACCCCGCCCACAGCGCGAGCTCGGCCTTCATGGTCCTGGCATCCACGCGAGTCAACTGGCGGAAATTTGCGTTGATGCACGAGTGTATCTGCTCGTTGCGAGTCGTTCCAACGCCGAGAGAGCTGTTCTCCTCCGGCGTGAGCCGCGCCCTGTAGCGGATGTTGTTCATGTAGAATTCCGCTCGATCGGGGGCACACGCCGCAATGAACTGCGCCCGGAGTGCGCCCTTATCGTACTGCACGTCCATCCGCTCCGGGTAAACGCGCGCGATGGCCGCCATCAACAT